TGCGCGAAAGCGCGATGTCCACATTCTGTCCAATGCGTGCGGATGTTTCGGCCCCATTGCTTTGCATGGCCTTGCGTTGCATCGAACGTGGTCGCATTGCCGCGCGTCGCCTCATGTACGCGCACGCACATACCACCAGCCTGTGGCGCCGAGTGTGTCCTGGCATTTTCAGACCCTTTGAAACGCGCGAGTGCGTTAGGCGCCGAAGGGGTTCGTGGCACTGTGAGACATTGTGAGACTTGCGGATGGGCTCGGCGCCGAGGGTGTTTGGGCATTGTGAGACCCTGTGAATTGCGCGAAGGCGTTCGGTGCTGAGGGTTTCGCGGCTCTACAAGGGCACGTGGGTCGCGCGGGCGTGCTCGGCGCCAGGAGTTTCGGGCCATCGTCAGATCCTTTGAAACGCGCGAATGTGTTCGGCGCCGAGGGTTTCGTGGCAATGCGAGACCATGTGAGACTTGCGGAAGGGCTTGGCGCCGAGGGTTTCGGAACGATTTGGAAGCCTTGAAGACGAGCGGTTCCATTCGGCGCTGATCACGTGACAGCGAAGACTGATAGGCTTCTAGTGGGCTCAAAAGAGAACATCTTGACTCCCCAGGGTGGTCTGGGCGGATGCCGGGGGAATCCGGGGAATCCGGGGGATCCGGGGACTCCCCAGAACACCATTCCAAGGCAACATTTTGAATCCCCGGAGCCAGCTGTAGGCCACTTCGTGTTCTTCGTGTTCCCAGAACACCATTCCCAGGCCACATTTTGAATGCCTGGGGACAACTGTAGGCCACTTCGTGTTCTTCGTGTTCCCAGAACACCATTCCCAGGCCACATTTGAATGCCCGGAGCCAGCTGTAGGCCACTTCGTGTTCTTCGTACTCCCAGAACACCATTCCTGTACGATATTTTGATTGCCCGGAGCCAGCTGTGGGCCACTTCGTGATCTTCGTGTTCCCAGAACGCAAGTCCTGTGCCATAGTTTGAATGCCCGAGCTGAGGCAGGCTGAGGCCGAGGCAGGCTGAGGCCGAGGCAGGCTGAGGCCGAGGCTGAGGCTGAGGCTGAGGCTGAGGCACGCCGAGGCAGGCTGAGGCTGAGGCTGAGGCAGGCTGAGGCTGAGGCAGGCGGAGGCTGAGACTGAGGCTGAGGCAGGCTGAGGCTGAGGCTGAGGCTGATGCAGGCTGAAGCTGAGAGGCTGAAGCTGAGAGGCTGACGCTGAGGCTGAGGCAGGCTGAGGCTGAGGCTGAGGCCGAGGCAGGCTGAGGCTGAGGCTGAGGCTGAGGCTGAGGCAAGCCGAGGCAGGCTGAGGGTGAGGCTGAAGCTGAGGCAGGCTGAGGCTGAGGCTGGGGCTGTGGCTGTGGCTGAGGCAAGCTGCGGCTGAGGCAGGCTGAGGCTGAGGCTGATGCAGGCTGAGGCCGAGGCAGGCTGAGGCTGAGGCTGAGGCCGAGGCAGACTGAGGCTGAGGCTGAGGCAAGCCGAGGCAGGCTGCGGCTGAGGCTGAGGCTGATGCTGAGGCTGAGGCTGAGACAGGCTGAGGCTGAGGCTGAGGCAGGCTGTGGCTGAGGCAGGCTGAGGCTGAGGCCGAGGCAGCCTCAGGCCGAGACAGGCTGAGGCTGAGACTGAGGCTGAGGCTGAGGATGAGGCCGAGGCAGGCCGAAGCTGAGATATGGTGAGGCTGAATGGGGGGGGGGGGGGAGGGGGGGGGAGGGGAGGCTGAGGCAGGCAAAGCCCGAGGCAGGCTGAGGCCGAGGCAGGCTGAGGCTGAGGCTGAGGCTGAGGCAAGCCGAGGCAGGCTGAGGCTGAGGCTGAGGCTGAGGCTGAGGCAGGCTGAGGCTGAGGCTGACGCAGGCTGAGGACGAGGCAGGCTGAGGTTGGGGCTGAGGCAGGCTGAGGCTGCGGCCGAGTCAGGCTGAGGCTGAGGCTGAGGCCAGCAGAGGCAGGCAACGGCTGAGGCTCAAATTGAGGCAGGCTGAGGCATCGTAGGAATTTGTAGGAATCCTTAGGGATCCATAGGACTCCTTAGGAATCCGTAGGCATCCTTAGGAATCCGTATGCATAGTTAAGCATCCTCAGGAATCCTTAGGAATCCTTCGGATTCTATAGGAATCCTTAGTAATTCCAAGGAATCTCTGGGAATTCGGATTCCAACGGATTCTTAAGGTTTCCTAAGGATTCTTGTGGATTCCTAAGGACGCCGAAGGATGCCGTAGGAATCCTTAGAAACCCTTTGGATTCCATTGGATCCTGAGGCCGTTGCCACTGCGACTGTCATTGCGAATGCGACTGCGCCTGCGAGAACAGCAGATTTCTACAACTGGATTCTCACTTGGATCTTAAGGGGAATGCTTCCAGATATGCTTGTACACATGGCTGTTAGGTTACTTTGCCGGGATATTTTTTGTTGAGCTGTGAGACCGCGTGAGGCTCGCGGATGTATTCGGCGCCGAGGGTTTCGGGGCGATTCGGAAACCTTCGAGACGCGCCACTGCGTTCGGCGCCGAGGGTTTCGTAGCACTTTGAGACAATGTGAGACTCGCAGATGTGCTCGGCACCGAGAGTTTCTGGCACTCTGAGACCCTTTGAGACTGTTTGAGACTGCTTTGAGACCGCCATCAGACGCGTCTGGTGTGTGAATTTATACAGTGTCGCGCAGATTTTGAGACTCATCCGGCACTCGTTCTTTATAATATTAAATTAAGAGTCGGACAGTCTCAAGGCGGTTCGAGCGCGGACGGGGCCGCCGCCGAGCGGATGGGGCCGCCGCCCAGGCGCGATCCAAGCGGTAGAGAATGTTTGTCAACTTTCTGGCACACGTCGGCTCGACGTGCGTGCAGCGCTGCATGTGACTGATGGAAGTTGCAGTTGCTATGATGGGTGCTCAAATGCGTCCATGCGGAAAGTGAAGAATTTCGTTTCCAACTTTTTTCCGTCTGTAGAGCCCATGAGGGGCCTGTTGGTAACCACCTGGGCTTTTACAGAGAGCTCCTCGGGCCTCCTCGAAACTTGTTGCGAGCAAGCCTGATGGGGCCTCTCGGAGCTTGCTGGGGGCCTCTCGCGCCGAGAACGTGACGTTCCCGATCGCCCCCTGTCCGGGCCCTCTCTTGGAGCGGTATTGGGACCCCTTGGGCTGTCTTGGCGCCGCATGTGTCGTTGTGGGCCATGTTGGGCCGGATTTCCGCTCCCTTCCAAGCCTGCTTGGGCCCGTCTTGCAGCGAGTTTCGACTTCTTGGGTCGTCTTGGAGCGTCAGGAAGCGGATAATGAGTGAACGCCAACATCGTAGCACAATTACAGGGAATCCGCAGCGAGCTGTGCCTCATGGGATCCCCCACGGGAGCGCTTTTTGGAGCCTTCTTGGGCCGTCTTTAGGCGCTCCACGGCCTTCTTGGAAGCCTCGTGGGCCATCTTGGTAGCCTGGGTGGCCTTCCTCTTCCGCCATTGCAAGCCGTGGAGCCCCTCAAGGGGGCGCCGTAGCCTCTCAGGGGCCCCCGCTGCACTGCTGAGTGGGCAAGGCGTCTCAGCCCGCCAACCTCCGAAACGCAAAATCATGCGCGATTCGAGATGTGGCAAAAACGACGCTACCGTGCTGCACTGGCAGTGGCTATTCCCTGCGCCGCTGCTGTACGTGGGTAACATTGGAGACGTTGGCAGAGCATGCTCACCTGACAGCGTTCGTGCATTTGCGCCCGCCACTTGCGAACGACGGCAAAATGTCAAAAAGTGGCTACATCTTTTGGCCGCTGCTGCACGACGGTGTCATAGGAGAGGATGCGCAGGGTAAACATGGGTTAGGCGGCATCACTCGACCTACGCCGCCGCGTTTGACCAGCGCAGCGCAGAGGCGAGCCTCATGCCTTCCACGCAACAGGCTGAGTATTCATCGCAGGTTCCCAGTGCGCCGTTGGCGGCGACGACGCCCAGGAAGACGTCATGCCCACCGCGATGTTG